GTCCTGGTGTGCTGGGACCAGGGGTGTCCGTGCTGGAGGGGGAGTCCTGGTGTGCTGGGACCAGGGGTGTCCGTGCTGGAGGGGGAGTCCTGGTGTGCTGGGACCAGGGGTGTCCGTGCTGGAGGGGGAGTCCTGGTGTGCTGGGACCAGGGGTGTCCGTGCTGGAGGGGGAGTCCTGGTGTGCTGGGACCAGGGGTGTCCGTGCTGGAGGGGGAGTCCTGGTGTGCTGGGACCAGGGGTGTCCGTGCTGGAGGGGGAGTCCTGGTGTGCTGGGACCAGGGGTGTCCGTGCTGGAGGGGGAGTCCTGGTGTGCTGGGACCAGGGGTGTCCGTGCTGGAGGGGGAGTCCTGGTGTGCTGGGACCAGGGGTGTCCGTGCTGGAGGGGGAGTCCTGGTGTGCTGGGACCAGGGGTGTCCGTGCTGGAGGGGGAGTCCTGGTGTGCTGGGACCAGGGGTGTCCGTGCTGGAGGGGGAGTCCTGGTGTGCTGGGACCAGGGGTGTCCGTGCTGGAGGGGGAGTCCTGGTGTGCTGGGACCAGGGGTGTCCGTGCTGGAGGGGGAGTCCTGGTGTGCTGGGACCAGGGGTGTCCGTGCTGGAGGGGGAGTCCTGGTGTGCTGGGACCAGGGGTGTCCGTGCTGGAGGGGGAGTCCTGGTGTGCTGGGACCAGGGGTGTCCGTGCTGGAGGGGGAGTCCTGGTGTGCTGGGACCAGGGGTGTCCGTGCTGGAGGGGGAGTCCTGGTGTGCTGGGACCAGGGGTGTCCGTGCTGGAGGGGGAGTCCTGGTGTGCTGGGACCAGGGGTGTCCGTGCTGGAGGGGGAGTCCTGGTGTGCTGGGACCAGGGGTGTCCGTGCTGGAGGGGGAGTCCTGGTGTGCTGGGACCAGGGGTGTCCGTGCTGGAGGGGGAGTCCTGGTGTGCTGGGACCAGGGGTGTCCGTGCTGGAGGGGGAGTCCTGGTGTGCTGGGACCAGGGGTGTCCGTGCTGGAGGGGGAGTCCTGGTGTGCTGGGACCAGGGGTGTCCGTGCTGGAGGGGGAGTCCTGGTGTGCTGGGACCAGGGGTGTCCGTGCTGGAGGGGGAGTCCTGGTGTGCTGGGACCAGGGGTGTCCGTGCTGGAGGGGGAGTCCTGGTGTGCTGGGACCAGGGGTGTCCGTGCTGGAGGGGGAGTCCTGGTGTGCTGGGACCAGGGGTGTCCGTGCTGGAGGGGGAGTCCTGGTGTGCTGGGACCAGGGGTGTCCGTGCTGGAGGGGGAGTCCTGGTGTGCTGGGACCAGGGGTGTCCGTGCTGGAGGGGGAGTCCTGGTGTGCTGGGACCAGGGGTGTCCGTGCTGGAGGGGGAGTCCTGGTGTGCTGGGACCAGGGGTGTCCGTGCTGGAGGGGGAGTCCTGGTGTGCTGGGACCAGGGGTGTCCGTGCTGGAGGGGGAGTCCTGGTGTGCTGGGACCAGGGGTGTCCGTGCTGGAGGGGGAGTCCTGGTGTGCTGGGACCAGGGGTGTCCGTGCTGGAGGGGGAGTCCTGGTGTGCTGGGACCAGGGGTGTCCGTGCTGGAGGGGGAGTCCTGGTGTGCTGGGACCAGGGGTGTCCGTGCTGGAGGGGGAGTCCTGGTGTGCTGGGACCAGGGGTGTCCGTGCTGGAGGGGGAGTCCTGGTGTGCTGGGACCAGGGGTGTCCGTGCTGGAGGGGGAGTCCTGGTGTGCTGGGACCAGGGGTGTCCGTGCTGGAGGGGGAGTCCTGGTGTGCTGGGACCAGGGGTGTCCGTGCTGGAGGGGGAGTCCTGGTGTGCTGGGACCAGGGGTGTCCGTGCTGGAGGGGGAGTCCTGGTGTGCTGGGACCAGGGGTGTCCGTGCTGGAGGGGGAGTCCTGGTGTGCTGGGACCAGGGGTGTCCGTGCTGGAGGGGGAGTCCTGGTGTGCTGGGACCAGGGGTGTCCGTGCTGGAGGGGGAGTCCTGGTGTGCTGGGACCAGGGGTGTCCGTGCTGGAGGGGGAGTCCTGGTGTGCTGGGACCAGGGGTGTCCGTGCTGGAGGGGGAGTCCTGGTGTGCTGGGACCAGGGGTGTCCGTGCTGGAGGGGGAGTCCTGGTGTGCTGGGACCAGGGGTGTCCGTGCTGGAGGGGGAGTCCTGGTGTGCTGGGACCAGGGGTGTCCGTGCTGGAGGGGGAGTCCTGGTGTGCTGGGACCAGGGGTGTCCGTGCTGGAGGGGGAGTCCTGGTGTGCTGGGACCAGGGGTGTCCGTGCTGGAGGGGGAGTCCTGGTGTGCTGGGACCAGGGGTGTCCGTGCTGGAGGGGGAGTCCTGGTGTGCTGGGACCAGGGGTGTCCGTGCTGGAGGGGGAGTCCTGGTGTGCTGGGACCAGGGGTGTCCGTGCTGGAGGGGGAGTCCTGGTGTGCTGGGACCAGGGGTGTCCGTGCTGGAGGGGGAGTCCTGGTGTGCTGGGACCAGGGGTGTCCGTGCTGGAGGGGGAGTCCTGGTGTGCTGGGACCAGGGGTGTCCGTGCTGGAGGGGGAGTCCTGGTGTGCTGGGACCAGGGGTGTCCGTGCTGGAGGGGGAGTCCTGGTGTGCTGGGACCAGGGGTGTCCGTGCTGGAGGGGGAGTCCTGGTGTGCTGGGACCAGGGGTGTCCGTGCTGGAGGGGGAGTCCTGGTGTGCTGGGACCAGGGGTGTCCGTGCTGGAGGGGGAGTCCTGGTGTGCTGGGACCAGGGGTGTCCGTGCTGGAGGGGGAGTCCTGGTGTGCTGGGACCAGGGGTGTCCGTGCTGGAGGGGGAGTCCTGGTGTGCTGGGACCAGGGGTGTCCGTGCTGGAGGGGGAGTCCTGGTGTGCTGGGACCAGGGGTGTCCGTGCTGGAGGGGGAGTCCTGGTGTGCTGGGACCAGGGGTGTCCGTGCTGGAGGGGGAGTCCTGGTGTGCTGGGACCAGGGGTGTCCGTGCTGGAGGGGGAGTCCTGGTGTGCTGGGACCAGGGGTGTCCGTGCTGGAGGGGGAGTCCTGGTGTGCTGGGACCAGGGGTGTCCGTGCTGGAGGGGGAGTCCTGGTGTGCTGGGACCAGGGGTGTCCGTGCTGGAGGGGGAGTCCTGGTGTGCTGGGACCAGGGGTGTCCGTGCTGGAGGGGGAGTCCTGGTGTGCTGGGACCAGGGGTGTCCGTGCTGGAGGGGGAGTCCTGGTGTGCTGGGACCAGGGGTGTCCGTGCTGGAGGGGGAGTCCTGGTGTGCTGGGACCAGGGGTGTCCGTGCTGGAGGGGGAGTCCTGGTGTGCTGGGACCAGGGGTGTCCGTGCTGGAGGGGGAGTCCTGGTGTGCTGGGACCAGGGGTGTCCGTGCTGGAGGGGGAGTCCTGGTGTGCTGGGACCAGGGGTGTCCGTGCTGGAGGGGGAGTCCTGGTGTGCTGGGACCAGGGGTGTCCGTGCTGGAGGGGGAGTCCTGGTGTGCTGGGACCAGGGGTGTCCGTGCTGGAGGGGGAGTCCTGGTGTGCTGGGACCAGGGGTGTCCGTGCTGGAGGGGGAGTCCTGGTGTGCTGGACGGGATCCCCGGCGTGCTGGGGCCGGGGGCCGTCCGTGCTGGATGGGGCCGCGGGGTCCAGCCCCAGGCTGTGGTATGCCAGGCAGCTTCTCCGCTGGAGCCCCTGGAATTTCTCCCAGCCGTGGGCCCGCCGGCAGCGCCGTGCAGGTGCAGCTGGGGGGACGCTCCTGAAGGCCAGCAGGGCAGGGGCTGTCTCTGCGAGCAGGGATCCGGCCCTGCGCCCCAGCCTGGACGCAGTGCTGGAACAGCCTGGGAGGTGGTGCGGCACAGCTTACCGGGCGCAGCTGTTTTGGGGGTCTCATCCCAGGAAACATTTCCCTGCTGCAGTGTGGGAAATGCCTGGCTGCCAAATTTTGGAGTGGGGGTGACACCACTGGTCCCACCAGCACCACAGGGAGAGGTTTCCTTGCTTTTCCCTGGGGTCGGGGCTGCTGTAGTGCTGAGCTGAGCAGTTTCCTGCTTGGTGGCAACCACATCTCAGGTCCTGGAGAAAACCACTGCCACGCTGCCCGCTGGGGTGCCCACTGCCCGTCGCTGCGCTGCCGCGGGCGGTGCTGAGCCCTGCTCCCCAGCTGCAGCTTGGCACAGCCGTGAGCCCAGCCGGCCTGCGTTTCTCCTGCCACCTCTTCATGTCTTCTAGGCACGTGGCGACCAGGGGCCTCCAGGTAGCACTGCTCAGTAGCTGAACCGATGCGTGTTAGCCCGCTGCGTGGCTGCCGTGCCCACTGCGGCTCAGCACCCGCGTGTGGCTGGCCCGGCACGTACTAGGGCGGTGCGTTGGTATTACAGAAATGATTTTCGCTCCTCTCTGGCTGCGGCGTTGTGTCCCCCTCTCGCTTGCCAGCTGCCTTGTGGGCTGGTGGAGGCAGAGCAGAAGCAGGCACCGCTCAGCCGAGAGCTGTGATGCAATTATGCCTCGCTCCGGGCTGCTTTGCCTAACGCTTCCTGAGATCTTGGGCTCCGGCAGAGAAATGACTCCAGGGTCGTGCCAGCCCAGCACACGTCTGTGGCGTGCATGCGTGCGTCTCGCTGCGGAGGACTGTCCGATGCACCAGGGCTGCGTGTTCGGAGCCCGTGAGAGCTCAGGGGTGCGTATCGCCAGCACGGTCCCCAAAGCAGTCTGCTCTGTCCTGGGGTGCTGCTCCGCAAACCCTGCAGGACGGCAGCCGGCACCCACAGGCATCACTGGCAGGTCGAGGTGAGACAGCAAGGTGACACGGGGCACCATGCTGCTGGTGCTCAGGGCAGGAGTCCTGCAGGGCTGGCTGTACTGGCTCCTTCCAGAGCTCCCATCCTTCCTGCACTGCTGCCCGCCTGCCCCCAGCTCCGGGCGCCCTGTGCTTCTCTGCACCCCCTGCTTGGCCCTTCTGGTCCTCGCCTGAGTCTGAGGACAGAAAGTCCCCAAGACATTGCGTCTAGGACAGGCTGGACCAGCCCCAAAGCCGCCCTGTGACAATCTCTGCAATTTGTCCAAGTCCCCTTCCCATGCAGGGGCTCGACCATGGCCAGAGAAGGGCCCTGCTGGCACGTGCCTCGTTGGGGTTTGCATCACGGCACTGCCTTGGTTCTCCTCTGCCTTCAGGAGCGCATCTACCCCACCTGTGCTCGTGGGGATAAGCCGGCAGCGGTGAGCTGCACGCGGTCCTCGGACACCACCCTTGTGTCTCTCGCTCAGGAGCGGGGTCCCTGGCTCGGCTCGGAGACGCACCGCGGTGCCAGGAGCGCCAGCTGCGGGCCGATGGGGACAACCATGAGGGATGCACTTGTCTCCGGGTACCGACAGAGGCTCGTCCATCTCGCCTGGATGTGCCTGTTCTCCTCCGTGCCAGTAAGGGGGCAGGGCTGGGGCTGGCCTGCGGGGCGGCGGGGTTTGCACTGTGCGCCTCCATCCCTTCGCGAATGGGGGGCTCCTGGCTTTGTCGTGCGTTCCTGCACTGCCGTGCTTCCCTGCCTGCCTCCAGGGGATCCAGCCTGCAGCAGCCCTGCTGGGTAAAAGGGCCTCATCCGGTGGGCTCAGCACCATTGGATGGAAGTGACCTGGGGCTGAGCCCCTTGGCTCACTCTCAGCACTGCAAGTCGTGCTGTCCCCTGGGGCCACCGCATGGACCCGGGCGGGTGGCTGGGCCCTCCCGGCGGGCAGGCGTGCACCAGCCCGGGCTGGCGAGTGCGGTCTCACTGCGGGCACGGGGTGCCGCGGCGCCCCGGGTCCCAGCGCGCGGCGGGCAGGCAGGTG